GACAAGTGCAAGTGGATGATGGAGAGAGTGGTGGAGGTGATGGCCTTTGGGATGAGTTGTTCAATGATGTGGAGGTACAAAATGAAGAAGAGCAACTTCAAGAGATCGAATGAAGTTGAAAAGTACCTAAGTGATCATTTTCATTTCATTTTCATTTACCCCAGTGCCGCAAAGGCTCCCACCTACGGTGGGGTAAGGGGGGTCGGATGTACGCAGTCTTACCCCTGTACTAAAGCACAGAGAGACTGTTTCCGGATGACCCATAGTGAAAATCGCGTCCAAAATTGCATGGACTGACTGATGTTCCACAACAAAGAAGCGCAGACAGTTTAGTGAGCCATTTTGCTTTATTCCATCATAATCTCAAGCCAAAAAATAATGAATCTTTGGCTCCATTGCAAATGATGGAAAGTGAAAAGTATCTAAGTGATGAGATTGAAAAAAGATCTAATCAATCTTTCAATCTTTTGGAATGGTGTAAAGGGAGCGAAACTAGGTAACCAATTCTTTCAATTATTGCCAAGGATATCTTTGCAATTCCAAGTTCAACGGTTGCTAGTGAGTCCGCATTTAGTTTGGGGAAAAGAGTTGTGGATCCTTTTAAAAGTTGTTTGAGTCCCAAAATGGTGGAGGCATTAGTGTGCACTAATGATTGGTTAAGAGCGGAGGAGTTCAACTTTTATAAAGATCCAAGTGATGAAGACCTTGAGTTGTATAAACAAATTGAAGAAATGGAAAAATGTAAGTCTTTATTTAATTAAATCTAAACATAAATTATTACGTACTCCATAGTTTTTTGTTTATCTTATGGTTTTTGTATTCTTCTTTTTGCAGCTGCAAGTGCTATTTAGCACTGGCCATGCCCTGTTTTGTAAGTAAATTATTATTGCTATTGTTATTGTTATTATTATTATTATTATTTCTCTAATAGGTATTATTCATTGTGAAATAAGGATTATAACCTGGTTCCACCGAATGCAGAGATGACAGTGTTGATATGATTATAAGAGTGTGTTAAACTGGGAAGGACAGAATTAGTAATGAGGCAACAAGATAAGAAAGGAATTAGGGAAAACCCCAATAGGAGGAAGTGACAAGAATTAGTAATGGTCTGGCCGTGTTCTGAGTCTGAAGGCCACACAAATTAGAATGTTTTGAAGGCATAAAACACAACTTGAGAGGAGTATAGGAAAACCTAAATGACTTGGTAAGAACCAATTAAAAGTGACCTCATCAGTGAGGAGATAGAAGTCAAAATCATAACTAATTAACTACTCCATGTAACTTTGCCAGTATTTAATAAGAATCTAAACATAAATTTAACTCCATAGTATTTTGTTTATCTTATGGTTTTTGTATGCTTCTTTTTGAGGCTGCAAGTGCTATTGATTTTTTATTGATTTTTTTCATTTGTAGGAATGGAGGAGGAATGGAGGAGTGAAGCTTTAGCCTACTTATCTTTTGGAGGTGCAACAAGCGTTCAAAGATGTGTTATTACAAACATTAATTATCACTCATTTATGTTGGATAACTTTTCTAATTTTCATTATGGATGTGTTGAGACTTGAGATATTAGAGCATAATTTTAGTATTTTCTACTTTGAATTAAATATTGTGTTTTACTTTTGGTATAAGTTTATGTAATTGATGTCGTTTGCTACTTTTGACATATCCAAAATCAGTTTTTTTGAATGTTCGGTAGGCCCCTTATGTCGATGCTTTATACGGAATTGTGTTGGGAGTTTAGTGTTGTGAATTTTCGGTATAAAATGGTATGAGTTACATACCGTAACTTTCGGTATGGTAACGGTATGATATTTACAAATAACGGCATTTCAGTACGGTATACGGTATGGCGTAAAAATTTCGGTATGCCATACCGAACCAGCCCTAATAATAGGCCATGACGCTGGGATGGGCATTGTGCAGCGGGAAACGGAGACCCACTTGCAAACTAGCTAAATGAACCCCGAAGTGAAGGGGAGAAGGGGGATCTACGATGTTCTGCCCAGGAGAGGGCCAGGAACATATGACGTTGTTGGGGCCTGCAAGGGCCACCACCTCGCCGAATTCGGCGTCAGATAGGGCGACGGTCGGGACTTGTCGGCCATGTTCGCAGGAAAGGAAGAAATGGGTTTCTCTCCCATCCGGATCCACCGGTATTTGGGGCTGATTGGAGGTGGCCCCTTTGTCAAGAAACACATGGTGAATCGGAACTGAACTAGAAGAAGACATCGGGAGGACTACCCTGGTGAAAAGTGAAGATGGAAAGGAGGGTTTTTGCGGCTTAGGATTTCCACCCAAGAAGACAAAGGTTCGAGCAAGAAGAGTTTTTTGAAGAATGAAAAGCGTTTATATAACCTAATGTTTAAGGCTTGGAAACTGTCCCATAACCGCTTGGGAACCACAATCATAGCACTTGAGTGCTGAAGATGGCAAGACAGATTGGAAATTTTGCCGGGCCACAAGCCTGAACCAAGTTGGACGCATTTAATGCGGTACGGCGCTACAGTCCACCAAAAAGATTCAAAATTTGAAATTGGTTAAACCGCTCAACTTACTCTCCTAAAATCCAGCCCTGCTGATTTTAGAGAGTAGGGGGCTCGTGATGGTACCATGGACTCTGATCATGGCCTAATTATGGAATTATAGATCAAGCCCTTAACGGGATTCAGCCCATAACGGGATAAAGCCCTCAACGAGATCAAGCTCTCAACGGGATCAAGCTCTTAACGGGATCAAGCCAATAACGGGATCAGCTCATAAACGGGATTAGTATTAACTAGCCGCTAGGCCTAATTAGGAATAAGACTCACGAAAGGAACCCACAACCAGGCCGGGCTGGACAGCAGACCTCGAGCCTGGGTGGGATTCTAGTGAGGTCGGAATATTTCTAGGGCTTACGTGGCAGGCTATCATTCGTGTATAGCTATCTGGCAACAGGCAGGAATAACGGAAGAACGTGGACTTAAAGGATAATCATTGCACAACGGCCAAGACATTACAAGAGTTCTACTCATACTAATATGTAATTAATAGCATTTATTGTAGCAGTTTCCTCCTAGAATACTAACTCATGTAGTCTATAAATACTTCTTGTAATTCTCCTATAAAGGGATCGAACTCCTGATAATAAAATACTGCCTTACGCTGCCATACTTCCATCTGCTTCCGTAGATATAGCTCTCGTAGTTGGATTAAACTCCATCAAATAACAAGACTAAAAGTCTCAGAAATATCTGCACCAGCTTGCTGATTAAATCCCTGAGCAACTAATCGTGCTTTATGGCGCTCATGGTTTAAAAAGGCGCTTATGAGGCGGGTTCTGAGGCGCGTCTCAAGCTGAGGCGTACTGGTTAGGTATCAAGGCGTAGGTTTTTTCACAGGTAAAGAGGCTTACGCCACTCATAGATTGAGTCACACGCCTTGAGGCGTTTGTTGAGGCGCACGCCTTGAACACTTGCGCAGTGACTTAAAACAGGCCCAAGTATTTCATTTAATAAAAAGCCCAAAGTTCTTTCTAAATAGAAGCCCATATATTAAACCCTAACAAGTCTTATTTCATTCAAATCCTGATAAGGATTTGAAGGATTTGAACCTTAACGTATACTTTCTATTCACCTACGCAAAGAAATCTCTCTTCTCCTGCGACATCTCCTTACAACAGCCCAAAAGCTTCCAGGTAACTTTTCTTCTCCATCCCTTTCTCTTTCTCCTATTCTTATTCAACTCCTCTCCTTCATTTCTTCTCTTTCACTGCTTTTTATCCTTCTCTTACAGAACTATTGTTCTTCTTCTCCTTCACTGCTTCTTATCCTTCTTTTACAAAACGGTTGTTCATGTTTTCTAACTGGTAAAGGATTTAGTTTGCTTCCTTAGTCATGTCATTAATAATACTTCTGTGTAGATTTAGTTTAATGGTGAGAGGTTCAAAGAAAAGATGTCATGCTTCTACTCCTACACCTAATAGTTCTGAAGGCCTTGGTGATGAAATTTGTGTGGGTTGTTTCTGTGTGTTTGTGAGACTGTGATGTGTCTGTTTTTGTGAGATGTTTCTTTTTGTGTGTTTGAAGCCTAGTGACTTACTGGTAATAGGTCACATGTATTTGTGTCTCACACTTTTTGGACTTATAATTATGGATATCCTTTACTTCTTGAGTTGTTTGTTACTAGTTTAATTATATCAAGTTTTATATGTCTGTATGTTTTTAGGCTTACGCCTCAATACGCCTCCAGGCTTACGCCTCGCCTCTTAGGAGCAAACCGCCTTGAAACCCGAACCCGCCTTTTTAAACCTTGAATTGGCGCTCAATAGATTGTCAGAATGATATTTAGTTTTATAAATCTCCTTAGAGTCAACCACATTTTTAGAATTGTCAATTGGCCCATGCACCGGAGGTGGAGGCTGGATCGCGGGAGAAGAGGGCTGGCCGGCGGTGTACTTCGGAGAGCATGATGGCAGCCCTTCAAACAGAGAATACACGCCACTCAAGGGAAGGACCTGTCGTCAAAAACGGCAGCATGACAGAGGAGGAAAGTTGTGGCAATTCCGTGGAGAGGATTTGTGACGCCGGAGGCGTGGTTGCACTGGATACGGGCTAAGCAGAAGACGAAGACGACGACGAAGCAGCGGCGGCCGTGGCTGAAGCTGCGTGACAGCAGTCATAGAGAAAGAGGTAGACTCGAAGGAGGTCTGCATGGCGGCGGCTAGTTAGGGTGGAGAGAGGCTCAAAAAAATTATAGAAAAGCCGGTGTCCTCTGATAACATGTGAAATTATAGGAAAGATTACTCCAATAGGAGCCTCTCTATAATAGAGAGGCCAAAATACAAAATATTAGAGGAGCCTCTCCAATTACAGGTATATTTATAATAGAAGAAGAGTTGACAAAGTACAAAATATTCTAAATAGATACTAGGCATATTATTAGATTCATCCAATTTCTGGTGTTACCGGTGGTTATAAAACAAGTAAAGAATGGTGCTAAAAAGAATCGCTCACCGCTGATTCAGATAAATTTTTAGACTCATGCACCAAACAAGAAACTATATGCATCCGGACCAGCTTCTTTCTTGCTTCCCATTTTTGGTTAAAAATACTCAACCTGTAAGAGATGACCAAACAATCACAACATATATACAGTTATACACATGAGCTCAAACCTTTATATTTTCCAGAATGAACTGAAAAGAAAAAGAAAAACAGAGAGGATGACCATATTGTATATACACTGATATTCATATCATATACTCCGTATAATATAGATGTTGGAGAAGGAGGGTAACCTGGGAGGTTCGGGGTTGTGATGGCATGGAAAGGAATAAATGGGTAAAGGGGATTTAGGTAAGGACGGAAATGATGTCAAAGAAATGGGATGGTGTAAGGCGCTAACTCTGCTTGTAGTCATGGAAATTCAGCGGAGAGACACCGGTTAGGGCTAGTTCAAAATCGTACTCGAGAACAACCCTACCAATAAACATGCTTGAGCGGGTGATTCAATTACTACCTCCCTTCCTTAAAAAATTTTCAACTTTTCTTTTTTGTATGTATCACTAATTTTGACACTTTCTTTTTTAAGTAAACAATTTGTGGTTCCAGTAAATTCTCACTCCTCTACACAAACCTCAATCATACATTTTTTACTTTATTAATTCTCGTGCAGCTCAAACTTGGCAAAGTTTTAAGGATCGGAGGGAATAATTCAATCTCTTAGCGCTAAACAAACATTTTGCATAGGACTCCGTGGGAAGTGTATATGAAAAAATAGCTAAAATGATTTTTTACAATAATTTCAGTCAATACTGTCAGAAATGCAATATCATCCTTATTTTTTCTTATTATTTCAAAATTCAGCTCAAATAGTTGGCGAATAGGTCAGATAAGCTGAAAAACAAGTTCACCAAACGGGCTCTTTATATATACTCCCTCCGTCTGATGGATAGTCTACTCGGGGGTATATATCCGAAGGGTTACTGCGGGGAATAACTTAGAGAGAAGTCAGAGCAAGTAAATATAGAGAGAGAGAGTGTATTATAAATGTGGAGCGTTTTCAGCGTGTCCTTACAAATGGGGAAATGGGGTGCTATTTATAGTAGCAATAAATGCCGGGCAGGGACACGTGTCAAGCGCTCATTGGCCGAGGGGTCGCCTCAACTGGTTGGCGCTGGCAGCCGCATGTGGCCGCATTTAATGCGGCTGTTGGATGGGACGTCTGTGCAGAGTACGGTGATCTGTACGCATGTGAGGCGGATATCTTGTCGAGTGAGATGCCTTCGGCCATAGAGCAGTAGCCGAGGGCTCACAGTGCCGAGGGCTACTGTTTTCGCCGTTTTCTCCCAGTTTTTTAGTTTGCTTGAGAAACCCGTCCTGTGAGAATTTAGAGCCTTCGGCGAGGGGGCCGAAGGCACCCCCCGTGCGTTGTGCAGACTGCTTGGTACTCCGGGCGCTGTGAATTGGGCCTGTTGGGCCTTTTGGGCCTGTTGGGCCTTTGCTGGAGTAGTAGGAGTCTGTGGGCCGGGGGTTCCCGGGCCATATACTCCATCAGGAGTCCCTCACTCCTTTTGCCGAAAGGTACTTGAGGGAAAAGGAGTATTTTGTGCTTGCCCTTTGATGTTGTCCCGTTGTGATCCCTGAAGTTGGTGAGGAGTTGTTGCTTTTGTGTCCCTGCCGAAGGCAGTCCCTCAGTTACCCACATGTCGGGACTTGAGGGCTTGCTTTGTTGTTTGTTGGAATTTCACAGATTTTGTAATTTAATGTTTTTCCCGAAGGGGTCCTCCAGTCCCCCACTCCTTGAGGCACTTGTAAAGTGGTGGAAAGGAGTAAAGTAGTTACGTTGCCGTTGTGGGCCGAAGGCTGGCGCTTTTCGTTTCATTTCGGGGGGATGCCTCGTTAAAAACCTCATTAGGAAAAACCCTTTGGGAAAAAAATCCTAATGAGGGAAAAAGAGTGCACCGAATTCCCCCAATGATGAATCGAAAATGTCAAACCTTGGTACAAAGTGGGGAATGACGGGAATGCCGAAGGCTCTCTCTTCTGATGGCTCCTGTGTTGATTAGCCGAAGGCTGGCTGTTGATGTCCTGGTGGCGCCGAAGGGGAGCCCCTCAATCCAGGGATCGAGGGCCTGCCAGATGAGGGCAGCAGTGAAGCTGTTACCGGGGGGTCCACTGTTTGTTGATGAAGTGGTGATTAAGATACCCAAGGGCCATGGGCCATCCGTCAATGAGGCACTCCCCGGGGGCTATCCGGTTTTGCGGTGCTGAGGGGAAATCCCCGAGGGGTACCCCTGATATGCAGCCCCAGGGATCTGAAGGAGCGATCCCGAAGGCGTGTGTAATGTGCGGTGTGGGGCACAACCCGGGGGCACTTCTGGGTGAGTGCACCCGGAGGCTGTCCTTGACGAAGTGGAGTGAAGCAGAAAGCCCGGGGGCTTCCAAAATATAGCCGTTGGAAATATAGCCGTTGGAATATGTAACGACGGGATATAGCCGTTGGGGGGGGACACGTGGCGTGTGATGGCTGGCTGTCCGTGGGCGGCGTCACCGGTTGGGCGGAGACGCGGTGAGTAATGATGGCGTCCATCCGGAGGCCCGGAACCCAGGCCCAAGCCCGGATTCCAGCGCCTATAAATACCCCAAGGCCGGGCATTCCTCTGTGTGCGAAAAACTTGTTAGCGAAGCTCTGCCAATTTTTCTAGAGAGAGAAACAGCAGCCCCCGGTTGAATCCCCTGTTCTTAAGGTCAGTTCTCCAGTTACCCTTCACCTCTTAGCTACCTGTACTGCGCCCCTAGGCTAGGAGATAGAACATTTAGAAAACACTAGTTGTACGAGCCTTCGAACTAGAGCGCGAATGTCGTCCGAGAGCGATTCTCAAGATATCTCGAGGACGCCCTCGATGGAGGACGAAGGCATCTCTGACGTGGAGTCAAGCAGTGGTCAACCCTCGGATGGTGGTGATGCGGCCCTGGCCCGGGAGGTCCAGAAGGAACTCACTGCGGAGGTTGAAGCCGAGGGCTTCGAGCAGGAGTGCGATGATGAAGACTTAGCCCTCGCCTGGCAGACAGCGGAGGATGAGGCACAGAATGAGAGCTCGAGGGTTACGATTGCTGTTCTCCCCCCTCGGGGTTCCGGGGAGGCCAGTAGCTCGAGGCCGTTGGATCCGATACCTCTGAGGGCGGTTTCCGGTGTGAAGAAGAAGAAGGCCGCTACCAAGAAGAAGGAGAGGGCCGTCGATCAAGGAAAGCCCGTAGACATGCCCGAGGGGTATAGTTGGCTGAACACTGAGGCCCTCGAGATCAGGTCGAAGGCTGACAGGGCAGATCTGTACGTGACTCAGCTGCACGTGGGGCCCTCGGCCGAAGTGGTGGAGCCAGGTCCCGACGACGTGTTGTCCAGGGCGCCCGAGGGGTGTATCGATATTCACGTCCTTTCGGTCTCCATGGGACTCAGGTTCCCTCTGCACCCATTCCTCCGGGAATATTTGCGGTTTGTTGGCTTGGTCCCCTGCCAACTCACGCCCAACAGCCACTCCTACATTGCGGGGTTCCTTCAGCTCTGCAAGTCCCGAGGGGTGAAGCCCAGCCTGGATTTATTCTTCCAGAGTTTTAATCTGTGCCGGGGGGGCACGAAAACGGCGAGGGGTACGCCAACCTGCAGCAGATTGCCTGCTTCAAACTATTCTCCGATGCTCCTTCTTCCAACAAAGGATGGAGGGAACGTTGGTGCTACGTGAAGTTGGATGAGAGCCCCTTCCCGAGGGAGCTACGTGACCGATTCCGAAGGCACGAAAAGATCCGGAGTGCCGCTCTTGAGAAGGACGGCCTAAAGCTGGCCAAGTTCCCGGAGGGGAAAGACAAGAACGTGGCGATCAAAGACTGCACCCTCGAGAAGGATTTGTACACCCTCGGGTTCCGGAGGTACCGCTTCATAGGGGAAACCGATGAAAAGTACCCTCCCTTCAACAAGGCCTTCGGAGGGGCCGGAGGTAGGAGCCGAGGGCTTTAGAATTTTGTACTTAGTTTTTTTTTTTTTGGATGTTATCGTCCCTTCGCTTAGACCCGTCGGACTAACCCTTTGTTTCCTCTGTGCAGGTATCCCCGTCTCCATGGTGAATGTAAAGGGCCTTGCCCGTTTGAAGAAACAGGACCCGAAGGGGTCGGGACAGGGCGTCCAGAAGCCCGCTACTGCCCTCTTTAAGAAAGCCGAGGGCGATGCCGCTGCCGGTAAGAGGAAGGCAGTGACCAAGGGGTCCCCCCCGGCTACCAAGAAGCCGAAGAAGGGGGATGTCGCCGAGAAGGAGCCCCCGGTCATTATTGCTGATGGGCACCCCGCCTCCGGGGTGCAGGTGGAGAAGCTGCCGGTTAGAACGCCGGCGGGGGCAGAGGAGTCGCTGCCTGAGATCCTCACAGTTGCTTTCCCGAGGGGTATGTCTTTGGCCAGCGGCGCCGTTGACCCGGGGGCCATCCTGAGGGGTATGACCCCTGAGACGGATAGGGATGCCCTCGGGGCCTACAATGATGCGGCCCTCGAGGACCACATTCTCCGCTCCTCCCTCTCTGTAAGTGTTTACCTGGCTTTCTCCATCCTCTCCTTTGATTATTTTTGTGTGATCGCCTTTAATTGTTTTTGTTGTTGTTCTGCAGGCTTGCTTAGCCCTCGGCGAACAGGCTCGGAGGCTTCAAGAATGGCGCCTCCACAGAGCGGAGCAAGACGCCAGAATGAGGGAGTGCCTCCTCAAGAACCAGGAGGCGGTGAAGCTGGGGGGCCAGCTAGAAGAGGAGCTCCGGCAGATGAGCTTGAAACTGGAGGCTGCAGAGAAAGGCAAGGCTGATGCTGAGGCCGCTGCCAGGAGAGCTGCTAAAGAGGCCGAGGACTCCAAAGCGCTAGCTGTCGCCAAGGCTCAGGAGGAGGCCGTTGAGGCCTTTGTCGCCGAGGGTTGGAGAGCCGAGGGGCGCAAGATGTGGGTGTCCTCGGTCGTGGAGGCCTGCGTTGAAGAATGGGCCGAGGGCCCTGGGTGGGAATGGATGGCCCGGAAGGGCAGAGAGTACTATGAAGCCGGCGAATTCTTCACCCAGGCCCTCATCTACCGGAGGATGGCCCGACATTTGGGCATTGAGCAAAAGGACTTCTCCCCCTCGGCGTATGGCCTTCCTCCCTTGCAGCCTGATGTCCGTGAGCTGCTCCCGGAAGGTGTTCAGAGGCCCGACCTTGAGGACACGGTGTTGAAGAATGAGGCCGAGGACGACGCTGTCGAGACCGGAGCGGAGGCATCATCGAGGCCGGCTGTAGAGGGCGCCCCAGTGAACGATGCTGTCGTAGCTGTGGAATGACTTTGTACTTAGAAATCTTTGAACATCTTTTGTAATGAACAATATTGTTCCTTCGGCTTCGGCCCGTTTGTAAATTCACACTTACTCTTGTTTTTGATGAAATGCATGCTGCCTCCGGGCTTTTCATATTCGAATACGCCTTATGTTTTGAATGTATGCCTTC